TTACCCTGTGGGACTTCGTTGAATCAAAGTAACCGAAAGCCTTAATCACCACCAGCCAAATCTAACACACCTCTTTCATAAGGTTACTACCCGCAGGTTATACGAGTTTTTGGATTGTGGAGTGACCGAGTTGTAGCTATTCTGCCCATAACATTTTGGTAGTGACTGTGAGATCATACAATATTCCATCAACGAATCTTGAAGAGATCAGTTCAAGCAGCTGGGCTGCAAAATTAGAAGACCCGAAACGTAAGACTCAAGGAAGATATTCTAGCCCGATTCGAGATACTGTAATCCTGGCTGTGGAAAAAGAGAAGAACTAGCATAGTTTTGGTTAGGACCTACAAGTGTGGAAAGCCGAGGTTAGAGAAAAAGAGAGAACTTACCCAAAAAAAAGAGTGCCAACCCCGAGTCAACATAGTACAATTCCGGGTTGAGGCATCTGGCATAAGTGGTACGATCGACGCTCTTGTATTCGTACTCACGGGACTAGTGTAAAGTGTATCGTACCCTGTCAGGTTGATTCTCAACGTACTGAGAACTACCGTTGTTGTTTCCAACTCTCCCAATGTACCGTAGACAGTTGAGGTAATTGAATTCCGGTTTGAGGTCTAAGAGGAAGACCCAACCGTGGTTTTGATTATAGGGATAGTGAGTACAAGAGTTAGTGTGTTAGTAAGCCGTATCGAAGGATTGAAGACAAGTGAAAAAAAAAAAAAAAAAAAAAATATACGATATTTACCCCTTGCCAATATGTAACCAACCTCGAAGAAAAGTTGAATCCCGAACGATGAAAACGACTAGACAAAGGCCTCGATGAAAGACTTGGTGTCCCTATTGTAGAAAAGGAAACTATGACGTTAGTAGCTGCCCAAAGATAAAAACGATGCAGCTAGAAAGTTTGGAGTTGTTGAATACACTTACCCAGGAACAAATCGTGGAAGTCCAGGAAATGGTTGATGAAACCATAAGAGACCATAGTCTTTATGACCCACAAGCCCTAGAATATTTTTTTAAAATATTAACAGATGTTAGCCAGGATAACAACCCTGATGGCAACGACGAAGGAGAAGATAATATTGTGCACCTGCCCTCGTATATCCAATTGAATCCACCTCTAGTACCTTCTGTAGTCCCTGTCCCGAAAGTTCTCCCAAAGTCTCGACAACCAAGATCTACTGTAACTGAAGTATTCGACGCCTACTACGACAAATCTGCAGAAGAACCCCTTGAAAGTATTGTCTTCGGCTCTAAAGAAGAAGAACGAGAAACCGAATTGGAAGTTCTTCTTCAAAAGCTTGTTGCCGAATATGAAGCTGTCGCACAAAAATGGGCCCCCGAAAAAGAAAAAGGCAAAAAAATGGAAGTCAAGAAAAAGAAAGTTAGTGACGTTAAGGCGACAAAGAAAGAAGCTGAAGAAAAAAATAACGACTTACCCGACGATTGCATAAAGGTTGCTAGAATAGGAGGCGCCGAAGAAACATACCCAGTTGGACCTTACTGCGAAGAAGTTGGAGTTAAGAAGGTTAAAGAAAAGAAAGAAATCAAAATCGAAAAAGAAGAGGCTGGAGTTGAAAAGGATGAAGAAAAAGAAGTTGAAGTTAAAAAAGAAGAAAAGGAAGAAACTAAAGAAGAAAAAAGTGAAAAGTATGAGGAAAACGTACCTGTGAGAATCGAAAAAATCGTAGGTGAAACCGAAGATGAAGACGACGACAACGAAGCTAATGAAGATAACGATGACAACGATGAGATGATTGTAGACGAAGAAGACAATGAAAAGAAAGAAGACGTAGAAGAACTTACCAAAAAAAGTAAAGACCTGGATTATGTCTGCGAATTGTG